CAAGGTTGGAACTAATCTCATTAAAATTAGATAACAATTTGGTTTTTTTATTCCAGGAGTATTATATTTTCTAAACGCCACCATTAATCCTATTCTATATAATCTCATGTCCAGAAAATTCCGCTCAGCTTTTATCAGAACTCTTTGTCGATGTTGTTTTAGTAAAGAAGAATTGTTTGAACTACGAGGTACTAGCCGCTCGGTGTTATATTCTGAAAGAGTGGCGTTAAACGGACGAACCAATGTGTATGGTCGAGAAACACCCATCATGTCAATGAAATATACAAACGGTTGTAGTTTTAGAAGTCGTGAAGATTTGTGTTTAAAACAATCACCTCGGTCCACATCGCGGAATACCTTACTTCATGTTAAAGGTATGACTTATTCTGAGAGAAATTTATTACAGATATACGATAAAAACACTAAATCCCAGTCTAAATCTCTTACTTCTAGTCCTGTTCATAGTTTAAATAATCTAAGACAAGTTCCTAGCGAGTGTATGAACTCTCTAAACTCTGTGAATTATTCTAGCTCAAAACTCAGTGCCTCGACTCATTGTGTCCTGTTAACAGGCAGTTCTAATATGTCTCAAGATTCATTTGTATAAACTATCTTCTTTTTATTAAAAATAATTATAAATATGTGTTTGTGTTTTCTTCAGCCTATAAAATTACTTCCCGTAACGCTTATCAGTTTATAATTTTGACTTTTGGTCCTTCTACAATGAAAACCTAGATCTTTCATCTAGACCAGGGTGATAAAATGTCGATATTATAAAAGATTAGACAAACCTTTGTCTCCCATCAGGACAACCGAGGCCCTGCATGCTACAGGCTGCGCACGTTTAAGATCACTCAACAGTTGGAAGTCGAAAAGAGTAGGCTAATGCCGCGGTCCTGGCAAAATTACGCTCATTGTACACTGCATGGCCTTGCTCGTCTTCACCAGCTCATTAGGTACAGAAATATCAGTAATATATTATTACAAGTTATTGCCCTTGTTCTTCTCACTGTATTCTAATTTTATACTGTAGAATATAAAGTTACAGTTCTACAGAAATATCAGTAATATATTATTACAAGTTATTGCCCTTGTTCTTCTAACTGTATTCTAATTTTATACTGTAGAATATAAAGCTACAGTTCTACAGAAATATCAGTATTATATTATTACAAGTTATTGCCCTTGTTATTCTAACTGTATTCTAATTTTATACTGTAGAATATAAAGCTACAGTCATACAGAAATATCAGTAATATATTATTACAAGTTATTGC